TTCATAGTTAAATTGTTACAAGTGCTAACGTTTTTTGGCCAAATAAACTACCACTAATATTCTAGATCTAACCCTGGGGTATATTTTTATGCTTAAGAGTATTGAGAAAGGTGTCTGTGTTTGTGGGGGGGGGTCAGCCTCCGTTTAACTGGGTTGCTGAGGCCTCTCTGAACCCAAGTCTTCGGTTAAGATGCAGTTCCTATAAGGTGTTTGTCTTGTTATTTTGCTCTTTCCAGGTGATGATGCCAGGGAGGCAGTTAAACACGGTTTGGATGGGATCTTGGTGTCAAATCATGGGGCTCGACAACTCGATGGGGTACCAGCCACTGTGAGTTTTAGCAAATGCTGGGATTTCTCTTTGTAGCTCCCATTTCAGTTCTATCTCTGTGTCTGCCTTGTGTGTGTGTATATTTTTGTGTGATCGCTCAAGCTGCAATATATGTGAATATGTGAGATCTCGGATTCTGAGTTTGGCGGGGCATAACTACCTAAATTAACTACTACATTTATGTTTAGTTAGCACAATACATTTGTTTGTAAACATATAAAAGTCCCTGTTAAATAATAAGGCATTTGTGGGTAGGGATTATTCTTGTATTCACAGGTGCACCAATAGACATAATGTAAACTGGAGTATGAAAGAAAAAATTATGCCATGAGAGTTCAAAGAAGATGAACTAACAGAATTGGGGGCTTTCCAAAGGCTTTGGTAAAGTTTGGGATCAGGGTACAATTGTGACAAGAAGTCAGGAGGAGGAACAGCTTGGAATTTCCTGTGTATGTGGGGTTGCAAAGCTGCAGAGAGAGGGTGGAGGGGATGGGGAAAGGAGTGGGCTGCACTAGGCTACTCCTTGAGTTGTGAACCATCTGAGCTGTGCATTGGAATTCCCTGGGGAACTTTCAAGAATCCTGATGCTCAGGAATCAATTCATCAGGATCTCTGGCAGGGAAGTTGGGTACACAGGCACCAATATTTTTTAAAGCTATCCAGGAGATTCGAACATGCATCTGTGGTTTTTATACACTGCATACACTGTGCTGGGCAAATCTGGGTCCAGAATCTAGATATAAAAGGGAACTAGGCCGGGCGCGGTGGCTCACGCCTGTAATCCTAGCCCTCTGGGAGGCCGAGGCGGGCGGATTGTTTGAGCTCAGGAGTTCGAAACCAGCCTGAGCAAGAGCGAGACCCCGTCTCTACTAAAATTAGAAAGAAATTAATTGGACAACTAAAAATATATAGAAAAAATTAGCCAGGCATGGTGGCGCATGCCTGTAGTCCCAGCTACTCAGGAGGCTGAGGCAGGAGGATCGCTTGAGCCCAGGAGTTTGAGGTTGCTGTGAGCTAGGATGATGCCACGGCACTCTAGCCCAGGCAACACAGTGAGACTCTGTCTCAAAAAAAAAAAAAAAGGGGAACTAAACTGGCCTGAAGTTGTGGGACTGAGTTAGAACTGTGATGGAGAGAAATTAGCCCCCAAAAGGCCTAAATCCAAGGAATCCAGCAGAGGTGCTGGGGCAGATTTTAAGATCAAGAATTGGTGGACCAGAAGTGGATCAAAAGCCATGGAGACAGACAGGTTTTATGGATCCAGGCTCCAGGATGGGGCCAGGAGCACAGGTGGGTTTTAAAAGTGGTTCCCTTACATGCTCTCCCCTTGTGGAGATTTGGCTAAGATTCTTGTAGAGGAGGCAATAATGCCACAGCTACCTTTCACCTCTGTTCTGTCCCTATGTGACCCCTGTTTTTAGGGTTGTGAACAGGAAATGTGAAACAGGAAGGAGTGAGGTGTGCTTGGGGAATACCAAGCAATTCATTTTGTTTGCAGTATCTGGTGGGAGTGAGTCCTGGGAAATACATCTGTCTGGAGAGATAAGGAAGGAGATTCTTGAATCCTATGAGTTGTTGGCTATGCAACAAAAGAGCCTTGGTTTAGTAGCCATGAGTCTCATAAATTGGATTTTGGCATGACAAGAGGCAGGAAGACCAATTAGGGGGCCTTAATGATTACCATAATAATCAAGGAAACAGAGAAGGGGTGCCTGGACCACTGAGGGACAGGGGAATTGATTTCCACTCTGAACCTTGGTTTCCTCATCTTTTAAAGTCTAAATATCAATGTGATGATTTCTTTGGTGGCTTTAAACTGCAATGTTTTATAATTTGATTTACATAGGCAAAGTCAAGTAGCATCATATAACAAAACTTAAAAATATATATTTACTAAATAATTTGGATGACTTTCCCAGACCACCACTTCTCTCTGAACTGGATCATCATATGTGTGTGTGTATGTGTGTGTGTGTGTTTCCCCCCTTTTATCAGAACCATTCAGTCATAGTTACTGTATGGATGGCTGTAATTGGGATGACCAGTTGGATTTATCTAAACAACTGGAAGAAGAGTAGAACAAATAATTTAGCCAAATAGTAGTGGATTATTGTTTCATTGAACTCACTAGCAGGTTGACTGAGCTACATTCATAGACCAGTTTTGTAGGTCTTATGGTAAAGCAGGGAATGCTGGGTATGCATATTACATTTGCAGTTTTTTCTAAAACACTAAGGGTAAGAACCAACCAAGTCTTTGTACACTGTAAGATTATATAGTCAAAAATTTAAAATCATGAACCTGGAAGTTGTCAGCCCTTTCCAACTCAGCTTTACTCCCAGAGACACGTCTTTTCAGATGATATTAAATGTTGCCTGCAGGTAAATAGAGGTGGAAAGTGAAGCCCTCCTCTGAGGAGGGTGGAGAAGTTGGTCACAGCTCAAGGCTTTTTCTCAAATTTATGCCTCACTTGTGTATGAAGACATAGACTTAGTGTGCAGGCCAAATTAAGTTTGTTTTCTAAAAATAAAATATAAATCTACTGAAATCAAATCTAACTAAATTTTAAGGGAAAAATATCTAAATGGTGTGGTTTATTTCCCTCTGGCTGAGGGGATATGGAAACATCTAAAAGGGCTTTTTGAGTTGTGGTCTCTGAGACTGTTTTTAAAAAAACAATAACCCTCCCCTTTGCGTGCTGTATGCACGGGAGGAGATACTTGCTTGAATTTTGCCTCCCACTTAAGAGCAAATTTTAGGCTCGTGAGGGTGAGAGAAATGTGAGAACAGATTTGGTTTATGGTGAAGGGTGTCTTTCCCTCAGCGTGTGAGTTTTGCAGTGGGTGGCAAAAGGCTTGAAGGAGGCTGTGGTGTGAAGCTTTTCAGTAGATGCACAGAAGGACTCGCTGTCCTGCAGATTCTGTTACATCATTAGTCAGAGCCGCAGAGGCAGCATGATGTCATGGGAAGAGCACTGTCTTGGGTTCGAGCCCTCGTCTCACCACTCTTAAGGGGTAAGAGCTAGATGAGCAAGTCAGACTTTTCAGCTCGAGCCTTTTCAAAGTGTCGTGTTGGTTTCAAAAAGAAAGAGAATATATGTTTTCTCCTTTTCTATAAATCACTGAGTTCCATTGTATGGGGAAATACTTATCATTAAGAGTTTTAGAACAGGAATTTAACTTCAGTTCATCTTAATACATAGTTTCTGAAAATTGCTGCCAGGCCTCTGCTCTACCCAAAAGAAATTAAAAAATAAGGTCACATCAAGGTCCTTGTCCTCATGGTAATAATGTGACCCAGATTGGCCTTGAAGTAATTAGAGAATAATGGGATAGAATCAAATTGATTTCTAAAATTGATTTCTAGATCTTCTCAAACTGGGGTTTAAAGACATTCTCCAGAGTGTTTGAATCCTAGGAGCATTTTTTTTTTTTTTTCAATTTCACATTTTTACTTGGATGCTAACTGGACCTAAACTACCTCAAGCTTAAAAATGTGATGTTCTTTTCCAGTGAATATTTCCAACTGCAAAACATTTTCAGAGAATAAGCATTTGGGTTGTTCATCAGTCGATGTTTCTCAAATTGAGCCCTTGGGCATGTTCTGTGAACTCTTAAGCGATTTTATTTTTCTTCTTGAAAAGGGTTCAATGCAATTCCATCTTTGAGAAACATTTAATCTATCAGTTGCCTTTTGCTGTGTAACAAACCACTCTGAACCTTACTGGCTGAAAAACAATAGCCATTTATCCATTTTGCAATTTTGTACGTTGGCGATTTGGGCTGAGATCTGTGGGGGGCTTTTCTGGTCTCGACTGGGCTCGCTCTTAACTGTCAGTGGTCAGCTGCTGCGTCCTCTGGGACAGGCTGGGGACTGGATGAGCTCAGCAGGGACAGTACTGCATTATTGCATGTCTCCCAGCAGGTAGGTGTGCTTGTTCTCTTAGGTGGCACGTTTCCTACAGCACTAGCTAAAGTATGCAAGGCCTCTTGAGATCTAGGCTTAGGACTGGCACTGTTACTTCTCTCACATTCTATTGGTGAAAGCAAGCTACAGGCCAATTCGGCTTCCGGGGGTGGGAAACAGAACCCTCCTCCCTTATACGACACACCCCTCCCCCGTGATGCTACAAGGAAATGAAGATAGAGCGGGAAATCATTGTGGCCATTTTTGCGATTGCAAACAATCAGCTAAATGTATATGAACCGGTGATTTTTCTAAGTGTGCTTAGTAGAAACACCCCCCCCGCCCCCGCCCAGCTCGGGGCTGCCTAGTGAAGTGCGATGGGTGGGGTGGGATAGAGGTCCCTGGAGGATTTATGGACAGTGGCTTGGACTATGTCTCCTTCATTCTTCACTAAGCAGCTCTGTTTTTTATCTGCTTTTGTTTATGTTTAACTGCTTTAATTTGCACAAAGGTTTGCATACCTAAAATGTCAGAAATCAAGAGTATAACAATAGATGCTATGGGACGGTGGAAAGGTGAGAATTCCCTGTGAGTATAAATTTTGTTTAGGGGTGGGGCGGGGGTGCGGTTGGGTAGGGAGCATCCTGGAAGAGGGGGACTTCGACAGGAAGGAGGAAGAGGATTCCATTTGAGAGTCAGATCACTGTGGGATTCTTTTCACGTCCCTTAACCTGCCTGACATTAGTGCCTTGAATATACCAGATCCTCGACCAAGTGTTTGATAAATCAGTGAATAGAGGGCCAGAGGAGCCACACTGCATAAAGATCTTAACATAGTTTCTGGAGATTAACTCCAGCGGAGTTTAATTAGTTTTCTAAAGAAGCACTAAAGAAAGAAATAACAACTGAAATGAATGATCTCACAGACAGGTAGCAAACTGAAAAGAAGGAAACAGAAACAGAGCCATCAAGTGGTGGGTTTGTCTACTATATTTATTTATTTAATCTGTTCTGATCAGAATTATTTTGCATAATATATGCCTACTAACACTGCAGCCACTGAAAGAAAAAGGGGAGGATAGAAATGTTCAGCAGTGTATAAAAGTTCTTGTCCATGGACACATGAAACACCAATCTGGGCTCTGTGTTTTAACCCAGGATTCACATTGTAAGTATCCTTATTAGTTTACTTTTAGGCCAGGTGAGGCCTTGGAAATAACCTAAACAGACTTGATTTGCCTGACTTTGGAAACCTGTATTGAACCCAAGCTAGCTAATATTTTTCTTTGGTTCTGGTTTCAAATGGGGAAATATGCTTAATTATAGCTTGCATCACCTCTTGGAAATTGTAGCATTTATATGTTGATGTAACTTGCCTGAATGTAAAAGGAGGACTATGTATAGGTAAAGGGACATATGTAAATAGATCCAAAGCATGTTTGGCAAGGCAGAGAAGCCAAAAGGAAAAGGGGAAAATCACATTACCTGCCAAACATTTAGGGGCACATGCCAAGTGTTGCCTTCGCTTCCTCTAAATCTGTACTTGTGTTTGGTCTTCAGCCTTTTACATAAAACTCTCTTTAAGTTTAGCCTCTAAAATTTTAGAGGAGAAGTGGGAAAGCCTTTGAGTGATTTCAGCATAATTATTTCTGGAAAAAGTGTACTCGAGTGTGTGGTAGCTTCTTCAGCATACATTTTAAATGGGAACTGGAGTTAATGTTATATTTTAACATTTTGGAATGAATGTGGATAATTTCTACAGATTTTGATCTATATAGGTTACCTTGTGAATCGTTTCTGTTCTCAAATGCAAAGATCTACATCAAAGTAGCCAATTGTGTCACCTACTGCCACAGGATGCTATAAAACAAATGATCCCAAATTCAGTGATTTAAATCAATAATCATTTATTCCCGTGAAAGTTTGTGTCAACTAGTGTCTACTGATCTAGGCTTGGTACTAGCTAGGTGGCTGTGCTCCAAGTTTCAGGTCCAGCTGGATTTGGCTTTGATAGCTCTGTTTCCTAAATATTTATCCTGGGGCCCAAGCTGGAGGGGAAACATTACCTGGAGGATGCTCTTTTCATGGCAAGTGGAAAGTTGCAAAAGAGTAAGTAGAAATATATGAGGTTGCTTAAGGCCCATGCTCAGAAGTGGCATTCTGCCATCTCTGCTCACAAATTATTGGCCAAAGTGGGTGATGTGGCCAAGGTCAAAGTCAAGGAATGGGCAGACGTGCTCTGTTCCTTTTAGTGGGAGAAACTGTGAAGTCGCCTTGGAAAGGGAGTGGATTTTGAGATGTGTGAAGGATCAGAAACAATAATGTAATCCACCAAATCAACCTCTATGAGGATCTTGATTCTCTAGTGCTAACCTGAACCCCAAATCAATTGTCAATGAAGATCAAGATCTTCAAGGTGCATGTGGTCACACTGTTGGTGGGACTGCAAATTAGCACAACCTTTGTGGAAAACAGTATGGACAATCCTCAGAGAACTAAAAGTAGACCTACCATTCAATCCGTCAACCCACTACTGGGTATCTACCCAAAGCAAAAAAGTCATTTTATAAAAAAGACACCTGCATCCAAATGTTTATCACATCACAATTGCAAAGATGTGGAATCAACCTGTGCCCATCAATTCATGAGTGGATTAACAAAATATGGTGTATATATATATATATATATACACATACATACCATGGAGTACTACTCAGCCATAAAAAGGGATGAATCAATGCCTTTCACAACAGTTTGGATGGAACTGGAGACCATTATTCAAAGTGAAGTATCACAAGAATGGAAAAACAAACACCGCATGTACTTGCTATTAAACGGGAACTAACTGATGAGCCCACATGTGCACAGAGGAATGTAAAACTTAGAAGAAATCAAGCGGTGGGGAAAGGGTAAGGAGGAAAGGGACAGAAACCTACCTAATGGGTACAATGAACACTGTCTGGGTGATGGGCACACTTAACAGCTGTGACTCAAGACATTACAAAAGCGATCTGTGTAACCAAAAATATCTGTACCCTGTTAATACTTTGACATGAAACAAAAATAAAAGCAAGAAAAATATTTTCGCAGAGAATTCTCTAACTTTGTATATGGCTGGATACAAAGTATATTGGATGAGGAAATCAGAGACTAAATTTTTTATTTCTAGCTGTGTTTGCATTTTTTATACACCACTGCTTGCACTGTTAACTGAATATGAATTTTAACAATTGATTTGCAATGAATAATGTTAAGAATAATTTATATCAACAAGACACTTCATTCACTTCTATGAATTTTATAAAAAATTGCTATAAAAGAATGTTTTAAAATTATGTTTCTAATTTTTTTGATTATGATCTTTGAATTTGCATATCAGGTACAGAAAAAAAAATCTTTGGACTTTGAAAGAAACAAGCCACTCAATTTCAAATTTAGCTGTTAGTTGTTGTTTTTGTGCTAGCCTTTGTACCTCTATTCTTTCAGAAGGAAATAATTTTATTACAGACCCCAAACCTACTTAGCTTCAACTCTAAGTCCTAGCTGGATGCATCAGTGGTTTTGGAGGTGGAGCTGAATAACAATTCAGTGTTAATAGTGTTACATTATTGACCTCTTCTCTCCCCAGATTGATGCTCTGCCAGAAATTGTGGAGGCTGTGGAAGGGAAGGTGGAAGTCTTCCTGGATGGGGGTGTGCGGAAAGGCACGGATGTTCTGAAAGCTCTGGCCCTGGGTGCCAGGGCTGTGTTTGTGGGGAGACCGATCATATGGGGCTTGGCTTTCCAGGTAATTAGACCAAGATAAATGTATAAAACAGGATGACTGGACAGTGAAACAAATGAATGAAACAAGTCAGACTGAATTACCCAATAGTTCTTTATCTTTTACTTGGTTAGGGGGAGAAAGGTGTCCAAGATGTCCTTAGGATACTAAAGGAAGAATTCCGGCTGGCCATGGCTCTGAGTGGTAAGCTCGCCATTCTCATTTACAACTCTCTTTTTCTTCTGTGGTCTGTAAGTCAGGCTCATTGGCGGAGAGAAGTAAATTGGAAAGGGAAGAGGGTGGAATCCTTTGGGGCATATTAAATTTGAAGTTGACTCTGTATTTATAGCTCCAGTGCAGAGCTCTCTTTGAACTAAGAAACTGTACAGTGTGCACATCTATAGCAGTCATTAGCCTCTATCTTTGACAACCTTATTAGGAATATTTTGGTGAGTGGAAGTACTTAAGGGTAGATGCTGCATCATGCTCTTTCTCATCTCATAACACATGAACACATAAAATCTTACTGGCTGGTCAACACCTCACTTGGGTGTCTAAGTGGTGCCTCGAACTCGACTTGTTCAAACCTAAGCTGCTAACGTTTTCCATTCAACCTGCTCCACCTGTAGTCTCTCCAGTCTCTGATCAGGTGAAGCCCATAGTTTCAGTCACTCAAGTGGAGGATCTTGAGTCATTCTTGACTCTTCTTTTCTCTCACACCCTCACATCCACAGGGGCTCTGTCTTCAAAATATAATCAGAATCTGGCCTCGCTGGAGCCATCATTGGCTCTCTTCCTGTGGATATCGTGGGTCTGCCCCTCTGTTCTTGCCTGCCTCCCCTCTCCTGGGTATATTCTGATCATGGCAGCCAGAATGATCCTTTTAAACATGAATTCAGATCATGTTACTCTTCTCATCAGAGCCCTCCCATGGTTCTTGGTTTACTCGGAGTAAATGCCAAAGTCCTTGCAGTGGTTTACAAGGCCACCTGTGGCTTGACCCCAGTTATTTTTCTGATTGCAGCTCCTGCTACTGTCACCCTTCCTTACTCCCCCCAGGCCACACGTGCCTCCTTGAACTCCCATGACTATATCAGACATGTTTCAGCCTTGGGGCTTTTGCATTCGCTGTTCCCTCTGCCTGGATGCTCTTCCCCAAGCTTCATAGCTACATGAATAAATTCCTCATGTCCTTCAAGCTTTCGCATGCATTGTGGGTACTTTCTCAAAGGGACTCACACCAACTACTCTGTCTAATATAGCAATCCTTCCTACACTCAGCTATTCAACTTTCAGTTTTCTTTCTCTATTTTATTTCATTCTTTGCCCATAGCACCTATCACCTTCTATATATCATCTACCATATAATTTATCTTTTAAATTATATACATTATGTATTATCTGTCTTCGCTTTAAAATGTAAGATGCATTAGACAGGGGTCTTTTATTGCCTTCACTGCAGTGTTTCCAGTGCCTAGAGAAGTGCCTGGCACACAAACAATAAATATTTGTTGAAAGAATAAATAAATAAGTCAATCAGCTGTGCCATTATTGCTGGTTACTATTTTTAATTTTACTCAGAATGAGCCTCGAGCTGCAAAGAATGGCCTCGAGTTAATTATCAGCTACCCCATTTTTGAAGATAAAGAGGGTTTCCTTTTCTGTAATCCCTATGATCCAGATTGTCCACGTAGATAGAACTCCTGAGATAAATGGTCTACTCACTACTGTGCGGGGCCTGTGCAGACAGAGCCTCGATGAGAAGAATGCCATTCTGTGAATCCTCACTACGCATTTTAATTTGCTACAGACATATCCTAAAAGAGAGCTTTCAGCCACTGACTCTCTATTAAATGTGGCAGAAAGAATATACCCTTTGTGTTAATAAAAATATGTGCCAGTCATTTTGTGTTAAGGGCTGTTTAGGTAATAAAAATGGTCTCATGCCACATAAGATTTGGCAAGCCTACCTTGAATCATAAACCTTACATTTGTCAAATTTTACATTCCTTGGGAAAACGATTACCTGCCTGATTATTATTGCATTCATTTCATATTAAATGTATGCATTATTTTTTCAGGGTGCCAGAATGTGAAAGTCATCGACAAGACATTGGTGAGGAAAAATCCTTTGGCCGTTTCCAAGATCTGACAGTGCACAATATTTTCCCATCTGTATTATTTTTTTTTTTCAGCATGTATTGCTTGACAAAGAGACACTGTGCAGAGGGTGACCACAGTCTGTAATTCCCCACTTCAATACAAAGGGTGTCGTTCTTCTCCCACAAAATAGCAATCCCTTTTAGTTCATTGCTTTTGACTTTTCAATGGGTGTCCTAGGAACCTTTTAGAAAGAAATGGACTTGCATCCTGGAAATATATTAACTGTTAAAAAGAAAACATTGGAAATGTGTTTAGACAACGTCATCTCCTGGCAGGCTAAAGTGCTGGAAAACAAAAGATAGCCTTTGGTAAAATTGGAGGTAGTGAACGCTGAGGTAAAAAGATAACGATCTCACTGTGTGTTAACCTGCATTGTGTTTGGACATCTTTAAAGCAGTGGTTCTTAAATTGTAAGCTCAGGTTCAAAGTGTTGGAAGTGCCTGATTCACACCACTGAGAGGCTATCACTGGACGGAACTGGAATGGATGGTGGTGATTTGTGATACTTCTTTTAATGTAGCTTTCCAATCACATCTTCAATGTCTGACTATATCCGAATGTTTTATGATGTATATTACTTCTTAATCAGAAAGAAATAAAGGATTTTTTGAAAAGACTGTATCTGGTCCATTTGTAAAAATATGGAATTCAACCATTTAATCTCTAAATCCTAATTACCTCCCCATTCTCCTTCTGCATATCCCATTACTTCTCCTATACTCCTTGTTCCTTTTCTTTTCTTTTTTGTTTCTTTCTAGCTGGTAGCACGTGCAGGGACAGCTACATAATGTGTGGAGGCTATGCCAAATGAAAATGTGGGCCCCTTGTTCAGAAAGCAGGACAAAACCTTTTTCTTTCTTTCTACAGTTTTCTCTTAACCTGTCGTGATGTCTTTTATTTGCTATTTCATGTCACGCTTCCGTGGGTATGGGGATATCCACAGGGCAAGAGTGTACCCTCCCAAGTGCCTGGTGTATTGCCCTGAGACTTGCCTCAGCCCTACCTGTGCCCATGCCCAGAACCCTGCCAGGGGTGGAGAGACAACATCACTGAGCAGGGTGGCTGAGCCAGTAGTCAAGTCCCCACTCAGGAGACATGGGGAGGTGGCAGATGGGACAACGTGTGACGCTAGGGTCCAAGCCCCCAGCACAGGTTCTATTGTCAAATTGAGCTTCATTTATAAAACACAAACTCAATGATAAAATTATTTAAGAATTTCAAACCAACAACCACAGAACATCAAACCCCAAGCCTGAGACCTGTTTCTGAGTGTGGAGCCCTGTTGACTGCCCATGAAGCCCTGGGCATGTGACTTTCAGATTTATTCCCAAACCAAACATTTGACAAATTGGAGGTGAACTTGGTAGCCAAAATATTCTGAAGTTGGACTTCTTATCACCTCTCTGGTTGTTCAAGCACTCAATGAAACAATTAGGAGAATCACCACCTTAAAGTATGTTTTTTATGGTTTATTTTTTTATTATTATTATGTTTTTATTATTCTAAGATCTCTCTCTTTCTCTCTCTTTCCTTCTAAATGCTAGAGCATTCTTAAATACTAACATGGACACAAACATAGATTTTCTTTCTGAAGTTATATCTAAGTCTAATAAAGAAGAAAATAGTTATCCCTTAACTTTTTCTCCAAACACACAGAGGAAATATTATTATCATATCATGTGATTGTTTTATGCTTTTCCAATTAATATTTATCAATGAATAGGTATATAATAAGCACCTCTTTGATTCCCCCAACTGATTCAGAAATGACTGATGTCGGCACAACATACCCATTTTGGCTACATCATAGTGTGTGGCTGGGTGGTAGATTGCTAAAACGTTGATAACTTCCCAGAAAATAAAGATCTACATGGTGTTTTGTGTAAGTTTTATACGAGTTACAATGAGAATGGGGATTACTGGTTTTAATTTGTGAATTTTTCATTTTTATGATTCTCCTGAGCCATCGTACCTCCTTGAAGGTAGATTTTCATTTATTTCTTCAGTGTTGGAATATATCTGAATGCTGTATGTCTGATCATTTATCTGTAATCAGAAAGATATACAGTTGTTTGTATTTGCTTTTTTTTTAATGAGTGACGTGGATCCAGTTGTAACAATACTAAGATCAAAGGTATCCAGTGGTTAAAAGCAGAATGAAGATGTGTTGTTTGCACATCCCCTTCCAAGGAGTACTTACCCTTGGTAGAAGTTCTTTGAGGAAGCCAACTGACTCTTCTGCTCCTGAGTTTCTTGAAATATGTCGAGGGGCAGTAATAGGAACAAATGGTTTAATATAGGCTGAGTCTGCTTTTCTTGTACGTTATTTAATGTATATAGTGCTCTAGAGTAGTGTTTCTCAACCTTTAGGAGTGTACCAGAATTACCTGGAGGGCTTGTTGAAACATATTGCTGGGCCCCACCCCCCATAGATTCTGAATCAGCCAGCGGAATGAGCCAGCTGTTGGGTGTGGGCTATAGGCAGAGGCCATGCCCCACCTTAAAAGGCCAGCTGCACCTTAGCCAGCTGGTTCTTTTTGTTAAATTTCATTTCTTATTGAAGTATAAAATGCATGCAGTGAGGTGTGTAAAGTGCTCAAACCTGTTTGCATAGATGGATAAACTTTACATATACCCCCATATGACTATCACCCAAATCAAGATATAGAACATTTCCATCATCCCCCAAAGTACCTCCTCCACCAGAAGTAAACCTGTGCTAACTTCCATTGTCATCGATTGGTTTTGACTCGTCTTGAACTTCATATATGTGGAACAATGTGGTATATGCTTTGGTATTTTGTTTCTTTTGCTTAACATGTGTGAAATCCATTTATGTTGTTGAAGGTATCAATAGTTAGTTCTGTTTATTGCTCTGTAGTAATCCATTATAAGAATATAACACAATTTATCTTTTTCTTCTCCTATTGTTTGATGTTTGGGTTGTTTTCAGTTTTTCTACTGGTAGCTGTTTCTAACTGACTTTTGGGAAAATGCAAACTCAGTGTTATTTTATCACTCTTCATAAAAAGCACGACATCTAGATTTTTATGCGAAGATTTTAAATGGTGGCAAATATTTAATGTTTTGAACATTGAACAGGTCATGTTAAACATGAATGTGGCCTACATGCCACAGGTTTTCAATCTCTGCAATGTCTTATCCTCACAGATGTTTCCCTCATGGCTAAAATCGCTCTCATGCCCTGACGCAGAATCATGCCTGAGACCTGTACCAGTGCTGGGTGCCTGCCAACAGAAATTGCCAGGATCTCCTGTATTTAAGCTTGCTTATATTCTGCTACCTGGAAGAATGTGGGTGTGAAATAAACTTTCGTCTCTCTACCAGGCCTGAGGAGCACAGGTTCCTGGGCTTGTAGGAACAAATTGAATGGTATTGATGCTTCTTAGCGTGCAGTTTGCAAACTACATTTGGGTCATTGCTGTGTTATTCATTCGCTTGTTTATCTTGCCAAAACATTGGCGTTTGTGAAACAGCTTTAGAAGGCTGTGGTGGATTAGGATAGCATGAAAGGAAGTTGTGGCTTGTTCTCAAACAGAGAGAAAAGACTTTTCTCTTCATTGTAAAATCCATAACTTATTTACTGTCTGATGGACTGTGTTGCATGTCAGTTGCATAGCAACAAAATAAAGTTTGTCTGTTTAGGAAAGTCTGAAGATTTCTTATAAAGACAGAGGATGCTTTCTGAACTTATATTTGCTTCAATGTGTACTCTGTCACATGCCAATTATAGAACGACATCAGGATGAGAGTTTATTTTAGGTAATATAAATGTTAACTGAAATGATAGAAGGCTATTATTATGTTTATATGATGGGAAATCTTATCTATTTTAAAAGATGCAATTTCCTGTCCTTACTCAAGTCTAACTTGAGCAATAGGCATCTTCTTTCCTCCCTAAATGTGGTTGCCCATAGTTGGTGGGGGGAAATAAAAAGAGACATTTTTTAAAAATTCAGTTGTCTGTTTGCTTCTCCCCTGATTTTTTCTGAATGTAGATAATGAGCATATGTTCAACTGTAAATTTTCCAGGATCTTCTAAACAGAAAGAATTGTGTTACCCTGAACGATGCCAGAATAAGGGCTAGCATTCAAGTGAGTGATACATTTGATTTCGTTGGTTCCTTTGATTCAGCATCAATTGGGAAAAGAACCTGGCTTGGTTTCCTACCTATATTCACTGGTTAGATCATCTGTCTTTAAAGCTGATTTGTTTTCCACTACAGTCAAACTCCCGAATCTGTTTCTGGCAGTGGGTTCTTCGTATTGATAGAGTCATTTATGGTAAGATCTTTTACATTATATTTACTAACCTCAGTCAATGAAGATCAAGGCTAACCCCTGCCTGAAAGCACTGGATTAGGAGCCTGAAGTTCTGAGTGATTAGCCCTGTGAACCATTATTTAACTCTAGGAGCCTCAGATTCTCAGCTGTGAAAAGAAAGACAGCAGTGTCTGCCTACCTCCCTGCGTCATTATTAAATACAGAGCATGGTGAGATGCATTAGAATGTCTGGTGAATTGTAAATCAACATTCAAAGGAAAACCTTTTCTTTCTTTTTTAAATTATTATTTTATAGACTTAGGGTAGTTTTGTTACATGGATATATTGCGTAGTGGTGAAGGCTGGGCTTTCTGTGTAACCATCACTTGCACTAGTGTACATAGTACCCGTTAGGTAATTTCTCATCCCTCACCCTTTTCAGTCTTCAGTGCCTAATATTCCACTCTCTATGTCCATGTGTACACATTATTTAGCTCCCACTTAGAAGTGAGAACATGTGGTATCTGACTTTCTGTTTCTGAATTATTTCACTTAAGATGGTGGCCTCTAGTTCCATCCATGATGCTACAAAAGACACAATTCCATTCTTTTTATGGCTGAATAGTATTCCATGGTGCATATATACCACATTTTCTTTATCTAATCATCCATTATGAACACTTGAGTTGATTCCATACCTTTGTTATTATGACCAGTGCGGATATCCTTTGCATATGATGATTTCTTTTCCTTTGGGTAACACGCAGTAGTGGGATTGTTGGATCGAATGGTAGTTCTACTTTCAGTTCTTTGAGAAATCTACATACTCTTTTTCATAGAGATTGCACTAATTTACATTTCCACCAATAGCGTATAAGTGTTCCTTTTTCTCTGCATCCTTGCCAACATCTATTATTTTAAATAATAGCCATTCTGATTGGTGTGATATGGTATCTCCTAATGGTTTTAATTTGAATTTCTCTGATGATTATTGATATTGAGCATTTTGTTCATTTTTTTGGGGCATTTGTATGTCTTCTTTTGATAAAATGTCTGTTTATGTCTTTTGTCCAATTTTTAATGGGTTATTTGGTTTTTTTTGTTGAGTAGTTTGAGTTCCTCATAGATTCTGGATATTAGTCCTTTGTCAAATGCACAGTCTGCAAATATTTTCTCTTTGTAGGATGTCTATTTACTCTGTCTATTATTTCTTTTGCTGTGAAGAAGCTTTTTAGTTTAATTAAGTACCATTTGTTTATTTTTGTTTTTGTTGCATTTGTTTTTGAGGTCTTAGTAATAAATATTTTGCCTAGGACAGTGTACAGAAGA